AAAAAAAAAAAACCAAAAAAAAAACCCCAGATAATGAACATACAAATGTTAGGTAGTTTGTTTATGTAGAAAAAAAGGCCCTTCTCCTTAACTTTCATTTGAAATTATGATAATAGCTCCATTAGCTTATTGAACCTCTCTCTTGACCTGTTTTTCCCGGATGAATTCACAGTTGTCTTTGTCCAGAGGTCATGAGGAATATTGTTAGAAGCCTCTGACAGTCCTGGTTTCTTCTCACCATAGGCTTGTTTAAAATGAGGTAACATTCTTTCCAAGGAGCTGGTGCCTTTTATGATTACCGGTTTGGACAGAACTTGCACTAGCTTGCCAGTGCTTGGGATTTACTTGATCTGGGATGCTTGCCTTCTACAAAGTACCATATGTGTTGGGGTAAGAGCCTAGTTGGAATGTGTGGAATTTCAGTATGACTCAAGTCATCTAAAAGGCATGTGCTTTAGGTATGGGAAGGTACTCCTGTTAGTTCTGTACAAAGCATAGGATAAATAGTTGCTACATAGGCTGTTGGTGATTATACTTAGAAATTGCTGAGCTGAACTTTTAAAATGGTTCTAAAGAGCTAATTTAGTGCCTGTGTTCTTACGTCCATTTACTATTCAAATACAGGAGTATTAGGGCACCTTTTTTATTTTACATAAGTGTATAGGTGATTGCTCCTGTAATTCTTTTATTAGGCTATGCATTCTGTCTCCCTCCTCTGCTATCCCTTTCCCATTTTTAATTGTCATTACACTGAAAACAGATTCAAATATTTCAAATATAATTTATTGTAGGGGGTTTGCAAATTTTATGATTATCTTCTTGTTACTGTGATTTTAAAAAACATTAATAATGTTTTCTTAAAGTCATGTGATAAGCTGTCCTTTTAAGAAGTGAATTATGTGACTCATGAACTCATTTGAGAAGTTAGGCATGTTTACGTATAAACAAGGATGGTATTTTATTCCTAAGAAAGGGCTTTAAAGTAAGAAGAGTATTCTGAAATGAATTTTTCAGTTTTTGTGGTTTGGTGTGGGTTTGGTTTTTTTGTTTATTTTTTTGTTGTAGTATATACCTGCCTCCTGGAATAGTATGACTCAAAGTTACATTTAATTACCAACCAGTGGTTATTGCCTGATCCAGAGCTTAGATGGGAAGATTAAG